ACTGATATGCTTCTGATCATATGCAAGGAAACATATTTAGGGAGATTGAAAGGAAAATGGTTCTTTTACTGCAATGTAATTAAATCTGCATGTATGTTTCAATATGCACTTGTCCAAAATTAAATAGCGCAAGAAAAAGTCTAACATTTTCCTGCCAAACACTTGAATTCGAAGACTACACAACATACATTTTTGGGGGGCTTTCATGACTCGCAGTTTATCGCAACAAAGTCTATCATGAATGTATGAATTCAAAGTATATATTTATAAATAATGAAATAGTCGTGAAGACTTCGCGCCATATCAGTTTTGAATTCCCGCCACCCACAACTGAGTATAGTAAATTGCCCTCGAAATTGCCCCATTTTGAAATCGCGGTTGCCCGTCGGATTGGCGAGCTATTTCTGGTTTTAAAGCATCAAAAGATAGAACAACTCTTCCTGAATTCGATACTGTGATTTATTTTGACTTCTCACAAAAAAAATTGATATAGCTCCGGCATAATATCAAAGTCACTTTCGTGATTTAAGCTCTGATTAAAAAAAGGCCAAATACAATCGGCCATTGACGTGACTAAAACACGATACAAAAATATTTTAAAAATAAGAATAATTAAATTCGATACACGATTAATACATTTATAAAAAGTTACCTTCGAAAAAATAAATTTTTCAGAGAGAAAAGACGAAATGAAAATCAACAATATTTCAGAACACAGTAAAAATTACCTCACTTTCAAATCGCGATTACTCCGTCAGTTTGGCGAGCTACTTTTGGTTTTAAAGTATCATAAGATAGAACAACTCTTCCTGAATTCGATGCTGTGATTTATTTTGACTTTTCACGAAAAAAAGTGATATAGCTTCTGCATAATATCAAAGCCACTTTCGTGATTTGTACTCTGACCCGTAAAAAGGGTTAATACAATACGCGATTAGCATCACTAAAACGCAATATAGAAATTTTAAAAAATAAAAATAAAAAATTCGATATACAATTAATATATTTACTGAAATCTAAGCTTTGAAAATAGAAAATTTTCAGAGAAATAATCAAGATAACCATCCACAATTTTTCACAATCCGTGGTCGCGAATTTCAATTTTGAAAATAATGAACCGCAGTGCATTGTGGGAAGACCCTCATTCCTCCTCTGGGATTACATTGTCCGCCTCGATTTCAAATTATTGTTTCGTGTGCACTCAAGCAAATTCGGGAAGTGAATTTAATTAATTAATTAGATTATAATACTCGGTGGTACATTACCATAAATGCACATTACTTTCATATTCTAAAATTGAGTAAATAATTAAAATCTGGGACTGGCCGGGGAGGTAATTTTCAATTCGGCTCGACTTCTATATGCAACCAAAATTATTGCACTAAACCATGCAGTCCCTATCTATGCCTGTTAAGGTTCATTCGATTGAGTTTTGGTACTGTATGGGTGTATTTTCTGTCTAGTTGACAGAGTTCTGTCACAAACATCGATTCACTACGTACCATTCCTCATGACTCTATGCTTTTCTGTGATGGTGGTCGGTTGGCATTTATATTGCAGAACAATGTTACAGTTAAGATCTCCATGTCCACAACCATGTTGGTTTGTCCATTCAATGGGTAAGATTGTTTGTCCTTTTCCTGGTCCACTCATGTAGTAATTCTACATCAAAAGATAATGCGTTTGTAGCAGTTAAAGGAAAGGCAACAAAATTATTTATTAGCCAGACCATGCAAAAATCCATACATGAAGGGATTGACATTTCTTTCAAGTTGGGATAATTAACAATTATTGAATGAGGTTGAGCACGATATGAAGAATTATCAAGCCCGAAGTTTGCCGTTATCAACCGAAGCCGAAGGCTGAGGTTGATAACGGCAAACTGAGGGCTTGGTAATTCTTCATATTGTGCGAAAACCGAATTCAATAATTGTTTTATTATTTATTTAAAAAATTCAAAACAAACGGTCATCCATTTGTTCGCCCACGTTAATCAGGAAAAGAATTAGGAAACTGAGTGTTCTTACCTATTCTAGAAGCTTTTGTTGATCTTTTTGTATTTAACGAATATTTATCTTCCAGTAATTTTTGAATTTCGGCTTCGCCAAGGTTTGCAAACCTTTCAGTGGAAGAAGCCATTTGTATTTTATTTGTATTAAGACTGAAAAACAATTCCTTAGTCCTTCGGCAGCCGTCGTCGTCATATCAATGGCGTCAGCGAGTCAATATGATTCTCGTCGTCATAGTATAATATGGCGCAAACGCGTCCAATTTTTTTTCATATTGACTCTTTGACGTCATTTTGCTAATATGAATGAGAAAAATCCATATTTGGTTAGCCATTGAGTTGATATGACAATTTCACAGTTCGCTGTTAGCCAATCAGAAACCAGGAATTTTTTAAATAAATAATAATACTGTTTAATGAACCATGGTGACTCTAATGATTGTTTCTAACTTTTAGTCTGACACATGTCAGTCTCCTTTTGAACACTTTAAGGTGGCTCGATACAGTCCATTAAAAAATGGAAAATTTACGATAATTTACGATATTTTTTATATATTTGGAGAATTGAAACAAGGAGTGCCTTACTTATATGGGAACGGTAGTTCTGTATCTTTTGTGAAAAAGCTCTTTAGATGTTACTTTGCATAAATCCAAAGCAACATCTAAAGAGCTTTTGCACAAAAGATACAGAACTACCGTTCCCATGGCAACAATAACGCTTCAATATGGCGAATATTTTTCTCTATGACAGCGCTCACATAAGTCAGGAATGGTGAAATGGTCTTTTCAAGACATTTCAAGCACTTTTGAGGTCATGTATCAGAAAATTCAAGGACTAAAGGGCTGAAAATAATGGGTTAGAAGTCAGTTCTAGCAAAATAAAAGTGACCTTAAGTCAGAAACAGTTTAGTCTAATATAATTACCATCTGAAACCAGTCCTTTGAACTCTTTTTTTGTGTTTTCTCTGGCGCATTGTAACCTCCTTTTGCATTATTCTACATTTGTACATAAACAAAGAAGAAATAAATACAAACCAATATATTATTCTCAAACATGTATTAAGACATTTAATCCCCGATTAAACTACATTCAACCACGGTCCACATTCACGACCTTAGTGGATATTTATACCCTGATAACTTAAAGCGACTGGAGTATCGAAACGATATAGGTAGCGAATGTATTTTAGTTGGGGGTTGTATTTTACTAAATAGACCAGCGGTCAATGGCAATGTAGTCGACAAGTATTTTTAGAACTGTCTATTCGTGTTTTATCGGTTTTGTTAACTATCATGCAGTCCGTTGGATCACTAATAAAGAACGAAAACAGTTCTGACAGTAGAAAGTGTTACGGTACCGTAAAGTACGTTACGCTGATACGGTTGAAGTGAAAAACGGATTTTATAAAATCTTCTGATATAAATACTGATCAATCCAATCTACACAGCGGTTCACATTTATGTCCTCATGATGCATTTCAAATCCCCCACCAAAATACCAAACAGCAAAAATATAACAGCAATGATTAACTGATAATGTAATATTCAGTGGAATGTTAATATAAATTCATACCATTACCGTATATACCCAAGGGTGGGTTGACTACAAAACTTTTGTAGTTCGCTATAACTACAGCTACTTCAAAAATATGTAGTCAGCTACAACTACTGCTACTTTTGAACAAAGGTACATGTAGTTCGCTACTGACTACAGCTACTGCTTAAAAAATGTAGCGAACTATTTCGCTATTTCGCTACGCTATCTTTTTTAGTTTTACTGTATTTGGAGCATCTACTAACTCAGACTGTAATGTAACCTATAACAAATCGACTTACGAGTAGCAACAGTAAACACAAAGCAACATGTTTGTAATAACTACAGTGTTCAAGAGTGTAAATTGACTATTGAGTATTGATTTTAAGCAAACCGTGTCTCAATATCATGCTATTCTATCAAGTTGCTAACATTTTT